AGTACTTCATTGCCCGGTCCTATGATTGTCAGTCTTTATTTATTCAATTTTGCAAAAAAGTGATTATATATTTATTCAATTCATTGCCCTGTTCTATTATTTATTCAATTTAGGAGGTAGCGGGAGCCACGCCTCCACCAATTTTTTTATATATATATATAATAATAATTATTATTTTTTAAAAATAATTAAAATTATTTTAAAAAATATAATTAAAATTACCTTTTTTTTCTTTTCTAATTTTTTTATTTATAATAAATATTAAGTTTATTTTCAAATTTTTACTTACAATTTTTTCCTTTTTTTATCTTTATATTTTTTTCTTATCTTTTCACTTTTCTATTTCAATTTTTTATATGAAAGATTCATCATTTCTTTTCACTTTAGCTGATTTAAGATTGCTTTTAATACCTACTTGACTCATAATATTCGCATCAAATTGGAATGTATATTTCCAAGTGAGAGTTGGTCTATAAAAGAGGTATGCTAAAGCGATTCTAACTCAAAATATGTAGATAAATGATCTAAGTGATTCACAAGTTTAGATTGATCCTTGATAATCATGTCTAATTTGCTTGGTGAAATATCTAATATTGGAGAAAGTAAAGGGGTGATGACTCTCTCAATATCAAAACGACACTTCTCAAGATCTACAAACATGCGTTCTCATTCAAACGAAACAATGATCTCTTTCAAAAATATCAAATGTAGTCACTTTTGTTTTCAACAAAACAATCTTAATGAGCTTCGAACTAATGAGAGCCCTACTATGCTTAACCCTCATTTTTTCATAATTAAGCTTAGGACTTATTATCTTTTCCATAACAAACTAAAAGTATAATAAATTGGAGATTAATATGATAATGAAGTTGGAAAATCAAGAAAATCGCTATTTGATACTCAATAAGATGAAATATTTATTATTCCTTTATAGGGTGAGATAGTCTAAAGCAATTCAATATCTTCTTTATTCGATCGAGCATAAAATAAGTGTTCAACTTGATACTTAAACTTTAAAAGAACATTCACTACCAATATAAGAAGAAATGCAAAGTATTATCCAAATAACAAAACTTTATTAGTATAACTCATTCAAAGTCAGTATAATCTAACTTGGTTAACATTGTATATCTAAAGTTGACATAAAGAAAATTAACAAAATTGAAAAACTGGGGGGGGGCATAAAACTGTTATGAACCCATGAAAAGGAGGGGGGAAAGAAGGACATATCAGAATAATAAATAAATCAAAACATGTTATAACTTTTTATCTCTTTTGTGAGTCAACGTGGCTACTTAGCTTCAAAAGAAGAACCTAAAACCATGTTAGTTTAAATGAAGACTGTTCGAGATAAAGTCGGTTATAGCAAGAAAATGTTCAAAATAAGATTATGAGATGTATGAATCTGGCAGAGCCGGTTAGACATCTCCTCATAAGCTTACATGAACGTGAAAATAAAGACAAAAAATTAAAGACAGAAATATAAACAAACAAGTCCATAATAAGACTATGAGATGACTGAATATGGCAGAGCCGATTAGACATCTCCTCATAAGCTTATATGAACATAAAAACTATACAAAGTTTTAAGCCTTTAAATGATTATCGCATCTTTTAATAAATATTACTTAAGGCATCTGAGGACGCCTTTATAAGAAAACTACTCCATAAGAGATGAGTAAAGAAAACTTACTCGGATGGGGGAAGGAGAAGGAGAGGGGGAATCTGAAAATGCTTCTCTTATTGATGGATATAAATTTACATGAGAGAGGAAGAGGGGTAGAGAGAAGGAGGAAAGGATAGGAGGAGAGGGAAGTGAAGAGAGAAGGAGAGGGATATCTTTTGGAACTTCTCTGTCCAGCATAAGGGACTTATGAGGTCCTTATATAGAAAAAAAGCAAAAACATGTTTTTAAAATAATATTAAACTATTTTAAAACTATATCTTAGGGACCCATATAAAGAAATGAGTCCTTGAGTGAAAGTGTGCGAAAGGAAATCTGCCGACACTAAAAACAAAATTGATTAAAATATATATATATATATATATATATATATATATATATATATAATATTTTGTTAGAAAAATTTCTACCACTTTGTTATCAAAAGATTAGTTCAATCTTTCCGTCATTAACATGCAAGGTTTAAAGGGTCTAACAACGTGTAATGGTAGAAGAACCATGACAAGGTAGCAATATATCATTATCTGTCATTAACCTTTGTCATCTTTTGATAATAGTATATGACATAAGGGCTTACGTTATGAGAAGTTTATGAACATCTTCTGGAAGCTGATACAGAACATATGTCTTCGAGTCCTTCTTCGATCATCTGATCTATGAAGTTTGTTTTCTCATCGTCAGAGGGAAATGAAGCTCCGGGAGTTCCTTATCTATGGATTTTGGTCTCTTCATAAATTTTTTTAAAAATTCTTTCTTTTTCAAAGTGTTTTACCAGAACTGGGCTGACTTCAATAGGGAAAGGATGAAACTTATTTCCCATGAGTTGTTTCCAATAAAGCTTGGTATTAGCTGTTTCTTTAAGAAGAATAAAATCTGAAATATCCTTGTTGGAAAAATTCCAGTTAAATCCTTTTACATAAGCTTTCCAAAGCTAGTACTAGTAAAACTTATCTTTGTTAAGAGTAAGTCCCTTAAAGGGATCATGCTCTGTTGAGGTAAGTATCTCATGGTTTATCTTTGTGTATAGCTTAACAACGTGTTTTGCCACACTATCAAACGAGGTGGGACTTCTTGGAGAAGAAGTAATGTGTAGGAGCACATTTGTCTGTGCTCAGCTTGTTTCTCATTTACTACAGAGTTTATCTCTGGAGTTAATGAGTGGAATCTTTCTATGGGTGGGATAGAAAGAGCTTGGAGGCATCCGACTTCTAACAAAATTTGAGGGCTTATCAGAAGCTCTCGGTATTACTGGTTTTTGAAGGTCGTTAAATCAATTTGCGCCCTTCGGATGACAAACTTTATCTGGCATGTGCAATTTGTGGTTACTGTTTTACAGTATTCTGAGGATCCTAAGCAAGGGTTCCTAGTGTTAAAATAAGTTTGTGTTTGGACAACAAGCCCATTTAGATTATGAGCTTCAGAATGGACTTCAAACAGAAATTCCTGTATCAAGCCAAACTTGGCTAAGAAAATGTTTGGGTTAACTTGGGTAGGAAGGCTACAAGCTCCTGCATAGGTTTGTGTTTAGGCCTTTGGTTCAAGCAAAAGGGCCATTTTTATTTTTCTTCATTTATTGTTTCTAATTTCAAATTCATCTAGGCTTCTTCCTAGAAATAAAAACCTTTGTAAGGAGACCAAAACTGGTCTTGTTTGGCCTCAGAGAGGTCTTTGTAGGAAGTATAAACTCCCTTGTTTAGCCCTGTAACTAGGACATAATGTGTAAACCCCTTACCAGAAGGAGATGTTGTGGAAGTCAACCTAACTTCCTTGTTATCTACATTGCAGAAACTGTATAGTGCGCTAATAATGCTTTGCTTCATTTTAGCGACTTGTTGCTTATTTTGAGCTGTGTATTTTAGGATATTCCAAATGTTGTCAATTAAAACATTTAATTTGACATTTGTAGATTTTCTACTAGGAAACTGGTAAGAATTTGTAAGTATGGGTAACTCTTGTTTCCCATACCTTATGTATTTTTCCGCCATAAATGGGGATTTTGTAGGTTTATGACCTAAAGGCCCTTTCCCTTTATTTGTAGAATCCATCATTGGATTTTTGTTCCTGAAAAAGAAACATTAATAAGCAAGTTATATTTATTTGTAATATCCATCAATGACCTTTTGTTCCTGAAAAGCATCAGAAAAAGGATTATAACATTTATGCTAAGAAACAAAATGATTTATTTTCCCTAGTTCTTGTTCTAGGGATTTTATATTGGCCTTATAAAAGGTAATCTCATAAACATAGTTATGAGGGTTTATTTCGTCTTTCCTTAGATGTAATTCGGCTAATCTTCTTTTTATCATCTTAATGTGTTTTGTGATTTTAATGGTCGGATGAGGGCTACAAATAGCACCAAATCTTAAGAGGATGTATAAAAACCCATATCCCGAGAGAATCTCAGGGTCATTTTGTACTACCATATTATTATTCATAATCCTGGTTTTTGTTAGAGGACTTGATCAAGTCTTTGGTTGTGATGTACCTGGAAAGCATGTCAGCAAACATATTATCAGATCCTTTAATATGTTCAAATTTTATAGTTTTACCAGAATTCATGTAATCTTTGAAAAGAAGTCATCTTCTGCGTGACTTTTTATCATTGTGAATCTAGTTTTTCTCATAAGAAACAATTGTTTCGCAACCAGTTCTGATGGTTATTTCTGTTTTATCTATTAGAAATAATTTGAATACTTCTAGAGCATGTATGATAGCATTGAATCCATAGTCAGTGCTAGTTTGGTATATTTGTGGTTTTGCAGTATATTTGTCAGAGACATATCTTCATATTTGTTCTTCTATCTTAGAAGAATATTTATTTTTCTTTCGTTTTAGGACGACTCCTCATCCTAATTCGCTTCTATCATATTTGATTATCAAATAATAAGAATCTAATGGTAATTGTAGAATTGATAGTTTGTTTACCATTTGTTTTATATTCTGAACCAATTTTATGTCTTCAAAATTAAATTTTCTTTCTCCTTTAATAGAAGTTTTGTTATATAAAGGAGATGTGTATATTCCCAAAATTAAATATCTTCCATTTTATTAGGAAAATCTTGAATTTTCTTAGAAATGTGGGGCTGGAGTTTTATGGTTCCATTCCCTATTTCTGTTCCTAAGAATTCTGTGAAATTTTTACAAATTTCCATTTTTTTTAGAAACTATTAACCCATAGTATTCTAATTTGTATAAAACTTGTTTTAAGTGAAGCAAATATTCTTCTTTAGTCTTTGAAAAGACTAGTATATAGTCTATATAGACGCAAGTGAAGGATTTAAAATCTTTAAAAATGTTGTCCATTTTTCTTTAAAAAATGGCAGGTGCATTTTTAAGACCGAAAGACATCACATACCATTCATATAGTCCTTCTGAACAGGAAAATGCTGTCCATTTTACTGAGTCGGGATCCATTTTTACTTGATGGAAACCACTCTTTAAGTCAAATTTTGAAAACCATTTTGTATTTTGTATGTGGTTTATCAAAATATCTTTGGATGAAATAGTATATCCATCTTCGACTGTGTTATCATTTAGTCTTTTATAATTGTAAACCATCCTAGATTTACCTCTTCTTTGTTCTGAAGTTTTGTTAACTATGAAAGCAGGACTCCTATGAGGACTCTCACTTGGAGTTATTACTTTTACTTTTAAAAGATTGTCGATATGTAATTGACATTCTTCTTGTTCCCAGTTGTTAAATTGTATGTCTTTTGTTTTTATAACCAAATCAGGGTTGATTATATTTGCAAATAACAGGGTCTTGATCCCAAAACTTTGTGGGGTCTTCTTCTATTATGCTTGTTTTGTTTAACCTATCCAAAATATGTTGGATATTGTCAAACATGATTATTTTTTATATCTTTATGGAAGAAAAGATTCCATAATCTCATTTGTGTAGTAATAATCAATGTTTTCTAAATCTTCTTTCATGCAATCACATGTGTTAGAAGATTTGGGGTTTTTACAAGAACATACATCAATAAGTTATTCTACGTGTTTTTTATTGTCACCACTCATTATGGGAGACATTTGTGTTCTATCACTAATGATAACATAATCTTTGTTTATAGTGATAGTTCGATCTTGGCCAAGAATAAAATCTAAACCAATAATCATACTTTGTTTGAAGGGGACTAGATTTTCCACTTGCATGGTTTTGATGTGTATTTTTTTACCAGATAGGTCACAATTTGTGCTGAATTGAAGAGAGATATTATTTATCTCTTCATCATTTATCATTATTTGTGTACATGTTTACTTTTGGTAATCATGTATGGAGATACTTTTGTTTTGTACACAACTGTTTTAGAACATCCTGTATCTAAGAGAGCTTGGATTATAGCCTCTTTTGCAGGAGTTTTGTTTTTTTGTGGAAAATTTAATTTTAATAATACATTTACGGTTATTAGTTGTTTTGTATTACAAACTAATAGGATACGTTCCATAGTTCCCATCATGTTGTTTTGTGTAGAGGTAGATACTAAAAAATTTTCAGTATCTTTTCCTTTAACAAGTTTTTCTAAGTGAAGAATCTTTTCTTCAAGTATATTTAATCTGGTTTCTAAGACTGAAGTCCTAGTATCGATTAAATTTTTGTCTTTTATTCTTTCTTCTTTTCTTAAGAAAGTAGGTATATCCTGTATTTCCAAAAAAAAAAAATTAAACATTTTATACCAAAATTTTTGTAACAAAGGGAACAATGTGCCCTTTGAGAGATGTATAAGGATCTATTAAAGTATAGACAAGGAATAGATCTTGGTCCTGAAAAGTATTGCATGTCATGTGAACATGAATTCTTTTCATTTATATTCATTAAACCATTACCCAAATAGTATAATATTTCTCCCACTACAAAAAAAAAAGTTTATTATCTACTGCCAAAATTCGTAGGTAATGACAAAAATCCGTAGGTAATGTCATTTTACCTACGAATTTTTTTTCGTAGAAAATCCGTATGTAATCTGGTCGTAGGTAATTTACCTACAAAATTACTGTCCGTAGGTAATACCATCCGTGGGTAATTACCTACGGATTATAATCCGTAGGTAATTACCCACGGATTAGAATCCGTAGATAATACACTCGCTTGAACAAAATATTTTTATTTACTACAATCCCCTATTTATTTTTTATTATTACCTAGAGCCCCCTCCCCTTTATATTATATTTTTATTATTTATTACATTTTTAGAACTTTGAAATATTATTATAATAATTTATAAATAAATTATATTTATCTCGTGTAAATATATAAATATAAAATATATAAATATAAAAATATAAAATATATAAATACAAATATATTTATATTTTGATATATTTATATATTCATATATTTATATTTTTTGATATATTTATATATTTACATATTTATATATTTAATGGTTAGAGTATCGGTTTTCAACTCTAAGGTATTGGATTCGAATCTCGTAGTTACAATTTTTTTAATTTGATATAATTTACCTATGGATAGTAATTCCGTAGGTAATTACCTACGAAATTACCCATGGACGACATTTTCTACGGATAATATCCGTAGGTAATGGATAAATTATGTATAATGTATTTTAATTTGATATAATTTACCTATGGATAGTAATTCCGTAGGTAATTACCTACGGAATTACCCATGGATGACATTACCTACGGAAAATATCCGTAGGTAATGGATAATTACCCACAGATAGAATTTTGTAGGTAATATTTGTATGTAAGGTACAATTTACCTACAGATTTTTATCCGTAGGTAATATCTGTATGTAATGTACAATTTACCTACGAATTTTTATCCGTGGGTAATATTTTGTAGCTAATAGACTTTTTTTTTGTAGTGTCCTATGTTTAGAAGAAGTTTAGGATTTTGAAGACTTGGCTCTGTAGAAAGCCTATTGTCTAGTGTTGGGTCTTGGTTGTTGCTATGAACAACATTTTGTGGTGATTCTCTTGGTTTTATACCAGCAAAATTATTTTGTACACTATTAGGTTTCAACTGATAGTTGAGGTTGGAAGTGATTTGATCCAACACTTGTGTTTACTAACCCTAAGGTAGATAAGGGTTCTGAGACTAAAGATACATTATCCAGTGTATCTTTTGGTTTATCATTTGTGTATACTAACCCTAATATGGATAAGGGTTCTGAGACTAAAGATACATTATCTAATGTATTTTTTGATTCATCATTTGTGTCTATTAACCCTGATATGGATAAGGGTTCTGAGACTAAAGATATATTATCCAGTGTATCTTTTGATTCATCATTTGTGTCTACTAACGCTAATATGGATAAGAGTTTTGAGACTAAAGATACATTATCTAGAGTATCTTCTTTTTCTACATCATATTTTATGGGATTTGTCATAGAAATATTTTCATTGTTAGGGATAGTAGAAATATTATACCTATTTTCTAGTGACCTATCTTGTTCTAAGTTTAGGTATGTTAGGTTTTTATAGAACCATTTTTGTAGTTCTTCTTGTTCTACTAATAGGGTATCTAAAGCATGTTGATAGGGTTTTTCTTGGATTGAGTTGGGTAAACGACCCATAGAATTTTTTTGGAATGACCTAACATATTCCATATAATTTATGTGGTTGTTTAATTTTATTAAACATGTTAGCTTTCTAGAAAAGCAATACTTGTGTTGTTTTGTCCTATAAGAATTGTGTGTAGCGTCTATATCTGGAATAAACTTTTTGTATCCCACTGGAGGGGATTTTATAATTTGTTCAATAGCTAACAGAGTTGTTTCATAATCTTTATCTAAGATAATTTGTTTAACAGCTAGCAGAGCTGTTTTGTAGTCTTTGCCTAAAAAAGGTTGCAGACTTTGTATACCTTCCATTAAAATTTTTTAAAAATAAAAAAATTGTAAAAAAAAAGGCAGAAAATAAGAGAGCGAGCAAGAAAATAAAGCAGCAGATAAGTAGAAAAAAATAAGGGGATCTACTGAATATCCTCGTAAAGTAATATTTATAAAATAATATAGATAATCATAAGACTTAAAAGAATATTTGAACCCATAAAAAAGAGAGAAAAAAGAAGAACATAAAAGAAATAAAACAAAACATGTTATAATTCTTTATTTTTTTTTTAATCAAAGTCGCTATTAGTTTAAAAAAAAACCCTGATTCGTGCATTTCTAGTTTCCACGTGGATTATATTAGTTTTCTAAACATAGGAAGGTCAACAGTGGTTGGTTTGGCTCAAAACGTATATTTTAGTTGTTCTGACACACATAAAAGTGAATAGTATTAAAAAAGTATAGGGACATATTTGTTATGATTTGGAATCATGTCTATTTTTATTTACTTTTTTTCATCAAGTTGTTTTCTCCAGTTTCTTTTGTTTTTCCCTATTTCTTTTCTTTTCCGCATTGACGAAGGATTGGACTCTTTTAACGAACTGGTAGCAGGTAGGGGTTTCCATGCTTATGACCCGAAAGACAACTCGGTTAATTATGGGTTAAAAAAAAAGACAACTCGGTTAATTATGGGTTAAAAAAAATACAACTCACTTAATTAGTGAGTTAGAGCTGAATTATAATAAATTAGTCTATAATTTATTATTTATTATAAATTTAAAAAATAATTATAATAATTCAGTAATATTGATTATATTATTTTTATTTTTTATTTTTACTTCATGTTATTATTATAAATTAAATTTTCACTTAAATTTATCATTAATTATTCAATGTTATACATGCACCTCTTATTATTTGTTTATCGCATCATTATATTATTATATTTATTATATTTATCGTGTTATCATATTTATAACATTTTCAGTCTCACACTTCAACCATATCATAACATTTTGTGGTGCCACCGTTTATCCCGTAATCGTATCACTGGATTATTGTATTTGTCGTCTTATCATGCCACCATACTTAAGTTGTTTTAGCATATTTTAATTATAATTATTAAAAAAATTAAAAACTAAATAATAAATATGGGATGGTAGTGGATTTAGCAGAGTTTTGACATTTTTATTAAGCATGAGTGAATCGGATTAACATGACTATTTTCAATTCAACCCAACAAACCCTAGTAATAGTAATTTCAGTTTTGAGGACCCGAACCTCTCTTTATAAAGACTTCGACAACGCTCAATTCTCCGTATGAGATATCATAACACGATGGGGGACAACGACCACCAGACGCAACCACTTCTCTCGCCGCGACCGGACACAGCAGTCTTCACGGCGGACTCCGATGACATCGCTCCGATCGCCAGCGCCGCCGACTTCACCAGAGAGTTCCTCACCGAGTCCAAGAAGCTCTGGTACCTCGCCGGCCCCGCTATCTTCACCTCCGTCTGCCAGTACTCACTCGGTGCCATCACTCAAGTCTTCTCCGGCCACGTCAGCACCATCGCCCTCGCTGCCGTCTCCGTCGAAAACTCCGTCATCGCCGGCTTCTGCCTGGGCATCACGGTACCCAACAATAATACAAAATCTCCCGCTTCATTTACATACTGATTTGCTCCTGTAGTTGCCAATAAGTATTCTTTTTAATCTCTTCTAAACATAATTTCTTTCAGATTTTATGTATATAATTTATAATATTAATGTCTAAATTATCATTTTAATTTTTTTCAACTTTTATGTAACACTAAAATAAATAAAAATACTACTGTAGAATTAAGGATGCAGTTGGAAATCGTTTAGAATAGACTCATAAGAACAAAACAATTATTTTGTTAATTATAGAAAATAAACGAATCAATAAAGTTTATTTATATATATGTCTTTTTTAATTAAACATCTTTATTTTCATTTATTTTTACTCATTTTTAATTTCTATTTATCATGCACTTCCCTACTACCTAAAGAGAATAGAAGAAAAAGGAATGCGAGGTTTCAATTCTAAATAAATTTAAATTATTTGTATTTAATGTAATGATGTCATTACAAATCTTTTAATTCTATTTTTTATTTTTATTTTGTTCTATTTTATAATCAAGTTTCAATAAATTTATTTTTAAATGGTAAATAAAATTAAATCATGTAAATTGTTTTTTAATCATTTATATTTATATTCGAATTTGAAAAGAGTATAAACATATTTAAACACAGTATCGATTAATCAAGTAACTGACGATGAATTTGGACGCAGTTTGGAATGGGAAGCGCGTTGGAAACGCTATGCGGGCAAGCGTATGGGGCGGGTCAAGTGCACATGCTGGGCGTGTACATGCAGCGCTCGTGGGTGATTCTGAACGCCACCGCTATTCTCCTGACCCTTCTCTACATCTTCGCGGCGCCGCTGCTGAGGGCAATAGGTCAGACGGCGGCGATTTCGGCTGCGGCGGGGGAGTTCGCGGTGTGGATGATTCCGCAGCTGTTCGCCTACGCCATGAACTACCCCATGCAGAAGTTTCTGCAGGCGCAGAGCAGGATCATGGTGATGGCATGGATCGCGGCGGCGGCGCTGGTCCTGCACATCGTGTTCAGCTGGCTTCTGATGCTGCATCTCGGGTGGGGCCTGGTGGGCGCCGCCGTTGTGCTGAACGCGTCGTGGTGGTTCATTGACTTGAGTCAGTTTGGGTATATAGTGAGTGGGACCTGTGGGGACGCGTGGTCCGGCTTCTCCCTTGAAGCCTTTCAAAACCTCTGGGGTTTCGTTCGCCTCTCCCTTGCCTCTGCTGTCATGCTCTGGTTTCTCCTCTCCTCTTTTTCTTTTTCTTTTTCAGTACTATTTTCACAAAACAAATATATGATTACTCTTTTCTAATTCAGAGTTGTTTACATTTCTACCAAAAAAATAGCTTTAATTATTCAAATGTATATTAGTATAATTGAAATTTTACATAATTCTGAAATAAAGGGATTAATATGGTACCATTTGTTTGATTTAATTTTAAAAAATTAAAGCAAATTTATTCTTTTTGTTAATATTTTCATTTTCTCGACAAATCTTGTAAGAAAATAAGCTAGAACGGTTGGTGTTGTGATTACCCGTTAGATATTGTGTGTGCGGATGGTCTGTTTGACCAATAGATCGGACTGCTTTTTTTATTTTTATATGCAAAACTTTTTATCATATCCACTATTCTTTTCATTTTTCATCATATTATTTTGTCTGTTTTCATGATTCAGCAAACCACAAACCTTTTAGATCATTTTCCTCCTTTTGTATGTCAAAAAGTGGCTATGGTTTTTCTAAGCTTCTATCCTCTGTGTTTTCGTTTTCTTGATTTTTCTATGATTGGATTTTTTTTTTGAATTATATTAAATAAAATAATATAAAAACAGCTAATGAGCCTCGCATTTATTTATTTGTTTTATTCTATATCTTTTAATTCCTATCCCTTGTTTGCGTCTCCACTGCTTCATTCACAAATAGGAGCAATTATTTATGGATTTGGTAAATATCAGTCCTACTAGGTTTACTCCAGTTTAAACTTATTTTACGATAGAGTAGTGGGTGTCAGGAAGAATTAATGAAACTAATATATATAAAATTATTTTTTAATAAATATTTATACATAAATATGTATATGATTGAATAAATGTTTAACTAAATTAATTATAGTAATTAAAATAACATATGTTTGCTAGAAAAAAAATTAAAATCAATGTTGAAGTTATATATCATGGTAATTCTTAACTGTTCACTCAGTGCTTAATTAAGATATTTTTATTTAATAAGCCAATTTTGTTGAATGATGTGCAGCCTGGAAGTGTGGTATTTTATGGCCCTGATTCTCTTCGCTGGATATTTGAAGAATGCGGAAGTTTCGGTTGATGCCCTCTCTATCTGGTGAGTAATTGATCTGTAACAGTAACTACCGGTATACATACAATATAGGAATTTTTTAAATATAAAATATATTATTTTAATGTGGATGAGTTTAAAGTAAGTTAAATAATTTTGATATTTTTAAATAATTCTTATTATAAAAATTATATTAAAACAATAAATTTTTCTCTTACAATTTTTATAATTTCTCATAAATAAACTAATTATCTGATAAATGATGTTAACATTATGAAATTTAAAATGAGAAGTCAATAAAAAAGTCAAACAAAAAAATCTTCTAATTTGTTGTGTTCATGTGATCATTGAAATAAATCCTAAGACATCATCGTGCATTCATTTAATTTCCATGTTTCAATCATAGCTAATATTTTTTTTTCTTACATTAATAGTAGAAGACTCTCGTACATCTAACATGACGCTGATTTGAATGGAAATGAATTCTGTTTTTTCAAATTAATTTTTAGATTCAATAATAACATGATTAATATATATATATATATATAAATAATACTTCAGCTCTAGTAGAATAAGGTAATTTTTTTTTATTAAGTGTATCTTAAATACGATTATTTTTCTTTTAATGTATTGAGTTAAAAAGTAATGTCAATTACAATTTTATAATTTCTATGAGCATATATAGTTTTTAATAAAATTAAGAATATTTATTATATGTTTAATAATATGAGAATAAGATGAGATTACTTTTCATCTTTGGTTGCATTACATTTTACAAACAACCTATTGTGTAGCACCAGTCCAAATCTGTCACAAATGACCAATCTAGACATCGTGCAGCTCGTGTCTAATAAATATATCGGAAAACGTTCTTTTCATCACGTGGAGACTACTCTACCGATGGATATGGATCCAGTCGCTCTGGAATTTAAAAATAAATACTACTTAGTGGTGTTTGTTCCAATCTTCCACTCTCATTTAATAATTTAAAGTTCAAGTTGCATGCGATTTAAAAATGAATGTTTAGAGGATCTGAATCCATATACACATTCAGTTTGTGCCACTTAATTACCAAAATGTCATGTCATTTGACTTATACTCCCCTTTTATTACCTTACACCTCAATAATAGTTGGCATTACACTTTCACCCATTTATACCACTTAACTTTTCTTTATTTACGTGTTGAGTAAGTTGTAAAAATAGATTAAATTGTTGTGAAAATAGATTAAATAGATGGATAAGTGTGAAATATTCTAAAAATAGGATAGATTAGATAAAAAACTTATAACTAAAATTTTTATAATTTAAATAGAATTAAGTAAATTTTGATCTTTAGATATAAATTGATTTAAGTCCGTTAGTATATATATTTATAGATTAATGTGTTTTATAAAAATAATAATTATTTTATTAATAAAATAAAAGTAATATTATTTTATTAGAAAATATAAGTATAATAAATTAATTTGATAATATATTTTGTTATATATATATATATATATATATATATATATAATTTAGAAAGAATAATAAATTTTAAACATAAATTTTATTTGTTTTGGTGATTTTTGTTATAGTGACTTTTAAGAATAATCATTTAAAATGATATATTTTTTAATATAATGTATTTTTAAAATATCATTTTGGTAATAAAATAAGTTAAGATATACTGATTAGATGTATTACTAGACATGATTTTCAGTTTAATTATGTTGAGTATGAAAAAGTTTAAAAGGTAAATAAAATTGTAGATTTAATTTTAAATCAATTATTAAAAACACATTAATTATATAGGTTTATAACATGAATTTAACTAAAAATAAAAAATTAAAATATGTATTCTTTAATATGATAAAATATGTTTAAATTCTAATGCATGAATAATTATAATTATTTAAGGCTATACAAATATAATTACTTATTTTTATAAATTTATACAATTGATTTTATTTTGTTTAAATAAGTTATAAGTTAATTTTAAATAAATAAATGAATAATATTTTTATTTTTCAATTAAAAAAATTATATAAATAAAAAAAGATTATTTTTAATTAGATAAAAAATAACTCATTAATCCATTGATATGATAGTTTCATACTAATTTAGTTTATTTTAAAATATAACTCACTTAACCATTAATTTTTTTTTTTTTACTTGGAAACAGTCCTTGGATCCAGTATGAGGAATTTTTTTTTAATAAAATAAAATAAAATCAGTTATAAATTATTATGATGTAAGAAAGAGAAATAGGAGTAACTCTTAAAGACGCCCGAGGGACTGGTGGGAACCTTTGTCGGTGGGTGTGGCTGCACTGTTTCTGTGCTATGTCCTTTTTAATTAAGACTTTGGACAGCCATGGCCAGAAACGTTCCTCAAAAAGAGCAAGCATTTGATGAGTGAATAAGAAAAAATATAAATACACAAAAATCATAAAAATAATGAATGATTCATTCATAACGAAAATATTATTTTCATATAAAGACTAACGATTCATGTGACTCGTCACGTGGTGTCTTTACTGAATTTGCAGCATGAACATATTGGGATGGACCGTCATGGTGTCCTTCGGAATGAACGCAGCCGTAAGGTTTGTTTCATCTGAACATATGCTTCTATAGCAACGTAAAATATACATATAGGCTACGAAAAGTCACAATTGAGGTAAATGGGTGTTGAAAATTGATATATGTGTGCAGTGTAAGAGTGTCCAATGAATTAGGTGCATCTCACCCGAGAACAGCAAAGTTTTCACTTCTTGTGGCTGTGATTACCTCGACCCTGATTGGTCTGTCGATGTCGTTGTTTCTCATACTATTCCGAGAGGAGTATCCTTTTTTGTTTTCAAATGATCCCGAAGTGAGAGAAATGGTGGTGGAGCTGACACCCATGTTGGCCCTTTGCATTGTGATCAACAACGTGCAGCCAGTTCTCTCAGGGGTTGCTGTTGGTGCAGGGTGGCAAGCAGCAGTTGCATACGTAAACATTGCTTGTTACTATCTCTTTGGTATTCCTCTAGGTCTCTTTTTGGGGTACAAGCTTAACATGGGAGTCACGGTGAGCATTTTCCTTTACCTTTCTTTCATTATTACTTCTTTCTATCATTCTTTCCCCTTAGTTCTTGCTATATAGCTTATTCAAATGTTATCTAGCATTGGCATAAGGTACAGCCCAATGAAACAGTATGTGTGTGCAAACACACCCAGAAGAAAATATTCTCACATGTCTTCTTTATATAACTTGTGATGAGAACAAATATAATAATAATAAAAAAAAAATTATAGCTGAGTGTGTCTGGATTCGCTTTCACTTTAGAAATTTCAGAAAACAAGATAGGGACAAAGTACTCATAGAATATATTAAACCTTTTAGCATTTAGTTATTAGTATATATGTTTGGGTGTCCTAAAAAGTACATGTGCATTTGAAACTAACAAACGTACGCTTGAAAACAATACCTAGGCGCGACAGAATTCACATGATTATGTTGTCTAACCTTTTGAAATGTGCACTTAAATTAAATAAAGAAACCAAAATATGTGGAACGTGATGATGGAATAATATAGCTTTTTATGATGAATGATTTCAGGGGATTTGGTCAGGAATGCTGGCAGGGACAGTCTTACAAACTTGTGTTCTATTCTTCATGGTCTATAGAACTGATTGGGATAACGAGGTAAGGATCTTTTTTTCAGTGTGTATGTATTATTGCTTTTAAACCAATATATATATATATATATATATATATATATATATATATATATATATATATATATAATATATATGATTAAGGTTAATTAATGGTGTAAAATTGTGACAGGCATCCCTTGCGGAGGATAGGATAAAGCAGTGGGGTGGTCATGAAGGTTCAAGAGGGAAGAATGATCGTGAAACATGAAATTGTGCAAATTCTTGAAGCAGACTGTACCTTTTTTTCATTTCAAGAAATGGTTTTCTCTAGGCTCAGGTGGATGCCAATCATCCATTCATTATTATTTTTCTAAATAAAAGAATGATGTTATATTCTGTCTCTTATCAATTCTTCTAATGTCTTGCAAGCTACTGTTTTTGTTTTTCAGAAAGTTTGTTAACATATATATATATATTTAGGGTTTATTTAATAAATATGTAGTTCAGAGAATTTAGTTCAGTACTACTTAAACTACCAAGTTATTGGTTCTTAAAAAGATTTCAATAGTTTTACATAACTTTTTTAGTAAAATGTTTACATAACACTTCTATCAAGCATTCCAACGTAGACAATTTTTTTTTTTGTCAATTATCAAACTTTTCTCTCCCATCACACGTAATATTTTCTCTCTTTGTTGAAGACAAAATAGAAGTTTATGTGGGCAACTTATTTTCATGAAAAACAAAAATCAATTGAATCCATAAATAAATTATATTATTTCGTATTATCACGTTACCATTATAACGATTATTGCTCAAACCTAAAAGAAAAACTGAGAAAATAATGATACACAAAAGACAACCAGAAATGCATTTATGGAAGTTGGTATTGAAAATCCAATACATCATCACTAAATCATATGAGTGGTCCATAAATTGATATATTTTTTTAATACGGTTGAAATAAAGTTCCAAGTCAGAGGACATGCCTCCGCGATTTGATACCTAATTTAGATATAAAACATTGCATATGTTGCCAAAGTAGGAAATATATGTATAATTTCCATCGTTGCTCCTAATTTTTAATAGTAGTTTTAGGTTTGAAGAATGAGACATGTGAATATTCAATTTTGTTTTTATCTATCTATTTTATTCATGTTTAAATTAATATTTTAATTCTTTTTTCTCTTTATCAATACTAACTCCAAATATTATATTTTTTGTGTTTTTATTAAAATCTGTACAAAGAATTAAGATCTCTCTCATCCAAATCATCTAAAACTTAAAAAAATATGAGTTAAAAGTTTTCTTAATTTAAGTGATAAGAAACTCTTTTAATTAGAGAAATAATTCATTATAAAAACCCTTGTGTATTTCTTCTCTACCATAATATTGTAGTTCAGAACAAATTATCCTCAATCACCTCAATCATCTTAATCAACCTCTTTGCTATTCTTCTTACTCAATTACATAGACCCACTCTCTGATGTCTTGTTGCAGATTTCACCATAGAAAAGGAGATTTAGAAAAGGGGTGAAAGAGAGATTTAGAGAAAAAAAAAAAGGAGATTATGAGTAGAAAGAAAAGCAGGGGAGACATAAAAAAAGAGATAGAGTAAAAGATAGTTGAGAAGAGAAGTAAAAAAAAAAATATGAGAAAAAAAAGGAAAAAGGAGGAGAGAAGTAAAAAAAGAGTAGAGAAGAGAAAGAAAGTGAGGAACTGATAAGGAAAGAATAAAAAGAAATTGTATCAAGACAAAAATAAGAGCAAAATTGAAATTGCAATTTGGTAAAACCTTTAACCCTCTTCTTTTTTTATTATAACTATTGCATTCTGCTATGAATATTTTTAAATAAGAGTAAGTAAATTTTATAATTTGATTTCATATGGATTTTATACGAGTCAGTTTCTTTTCCAGTAAAGTTTTATTTTGAACAAAAATAAGTTTCAGACATCACCATAAAATGGATCCAGTTTCACTCTATCAAGTTTATATCATTTTATGTGCCAAACCCTAACATACTGATGTGACTGTAGTTCTATAAATGTCTGAATATTTTATGTGTAGAACATAACTGAAATCATCTCTTAATAGTTGTTGTTGTGGTTGCATGAAAGTATTTTCATCACGTGAAGATTTAAACCTCCTTTCTATATATTTTTATTAATATTTTTTGTTGTTTTCTCATTTAAGTAAAGATGTTTCTACCTTTCTTTCACTTTAGTCTCATTCACATATATTTATTATTATTTTTAGATAAACTTGATCATTAAAATTTAATCTTTTATTATTATATAAAATTTTCTCTTATTTCTTTTTTTTTCAAGAGTATGATATTTGAGTTTATTAACTATTGTAATAAAAAAATGATTTTACAAAATTAGTTAAAAAATATTGACATGACCACCTGAAAATATATAACAAACTCAAAATGATAAAAGATATTTTTCTTTTATTTTAACAATAATAATAAATTTTTAAAATGAGTAAACTATCAAAATTAGAACAAACTCTTTTTTCCTATAGATAGAAGATTTGTTTCTTTTTCTATCGAGTGGTGATATTTTGATAATCAGAAATCATACAACCATTTAAATAACTCACTTTTATTAATATAATAATATATAGAATGATTTAATATAAATAAAAATAAAGCAAAATTATTATTATTATTATATTAAAAGAAAGTTGTTTATAGAAGTTGTATGAATTTGAGTTCCTATAATTACTTTCAGTTTTGCTAACCCCACACCTCTATTGCTAGGTATAGTTTGTTTGCTTTTAGTTTGTTTATTTATTTATTTTTATAAAAAATGTCTTTTCTTGAACTATAACACCATTTTCTTGTGCTATTTTTTAAAAATAATAAAATGAAAAATTTTACCCATTATAATTAATTCTAGATATGAATTACTTTTTAAAGTAATCAAATATAATGACAATGTAAGTTATCTTTATTTAAAATTAAATTAATTACGATAGTAGTCAAATTAAATATTATATTCAATTGAAATACTGACAAGTGCTAACTAATATCTGAATACTGGTTAAATAATAATAATAAAAATATTGGGGCGTGTATAAATGCACTCTTCTATTGAATGAGCCATCTCATAATTTCCAATAAAAAATGTTCTCTTTTTAAACTAGTTAGATCCACATTTATCATTTAAAGTAATAATAATATTAATAATAATAAAATCAATACAAGTTACTTTTTTTAATAATTATCTAGTTAATTATGTAATAAATTTATATCATGATTAAATCAGTTACTATTATAAAAGCTCAGTTATGTTATGCTTATTCAAATTTAAATTAAAAAGAAAGTTTATATTACAATTAACTTGATTTCTATTAAAAAAGATAATTTATGCAGTTATTAAACTAATTTGTATCTTAATAAAGATAATTATTATTAAAAGGTTAAGTTACATTGAATTTTTTTAATAAATATATCATCATTAATTTACTTTAATAAAAGCTAACTTTTAAAAACATTAATTTGTTAGTAAAATATACAATCGTAGACAAATCTCAGTTATGTTTTGTGAAATAAATAGTAAAAACGTATTTTCATTATTATGCACTGTGAAGTCACACCTAATAACACATCATCATCAATGATAATTTTGTTAAAAATGTATTTTTTAAAAAGTTGACGACGATTAAGCAAAAACATTGGGTGTAATTTTATTCTTCATTGGCCCAATTTACTAAAGTTTCGTTGGTGTGTTTTTCACATACGGGCTTGCGTTTCCTGTTACGAAAGGATCCCAAACAAACCCAAACCGTCCGAGTTTCATAATATCAAATTTAAAGGACAAAAACTATATTATCCTAAATTTAAAGGATTAAAATGCATTTGAACTAATTAAAAAAACAATTAGTAATGAGACCAAATATAAATAAAATTAATAAACAAAATATAGTATGATAGGTATAAATAAAAATAATATATATATATATATATATATATATCAAATATTATAATAAAAAATAAATTTTTTAAATTTTAAATTATTTAATTTAAATTTTAATAAAATAATAATAATGAAATTCTTTTTTGTCTCATTCTTCATTATATTAGAATTAAAATATTTAATAAAACTGTTTCTCAGTTTTTTAGTGATAAATATGTAACATAAAATAGGAAAAATAAAAATAGTTGTAAGCATAATCAAATATTGAATAATCTAAAATTTGATTAATAGATAAAATTGTTAAAATCCTGCATTATTAAATATATAATAATATTACTATATATAATTTTTATGTATTGAATCAATTTTATAAGATTGAGTTAAATATTTTATAATTTTTAATATGATATTATGATCTTATTAAATGATTGTGAAATAATCTACTCAATAATGATTGATAAAAAAATACTCTTGAGATATAATAATATTATAATATATAAATGAGTATAATTCTTAAATTATTGATTCAATTTTATAAAATTGAATTAAAAATATAATAATTTAAAAAAAATCATATATAAAAGAGTTATTTAAATAAAATATTAGTTATTTAAAATAAAATTTTATTGAATAAATCCTATGACATGATTATATATATATATATATATATATATATATATATTATAATTATTTCATCAAAGAACTTATAAAAACAAGCAAAAGTAAAATAAATAAAAAGAAAGAATAATTTTTTTAAAATCGATGAGAAAACTTATATTAGAATTAAAAAAAATGAATTGTTTATAAATAATGTGTTATCATGTCTTATTTTTTTTCTAAATAATAAATAAATGTAAGTTATTTCTATTGAAAATATGGTGAACATAGATAAATTAAACGAAGATGCTACCAAGTTAATGATGGATTGATGAAAGAATTTATTAAATTTGACTTTTTTTTTCCACAATAAAAGATTTTGAATTAGAGTTATACATAAAACGTTTTAAACGAATCCAGTAAGAATTTAGTTTCATAATATTGGATGAAGAACTTTCTTCTCAACCTCCTTATTAAACTTGTAATTGTTGTGATGTGAGTGCTAAATAATAAGTAAATGCAGCAATAAGTGGTTGGTTGGAGTGTATGGAGCACTGTAAGTTGAGTCCAGTGAGGATCTAACATTGGCACCTATAGAAATAGGTAGAAGGAAACTCATCCACTTTCTCATCCACCCAACACCTTTACCATCTTCCTTTTACTCATTTTCAGTCAATGGAATCTTAAAACCAACGTCTTTGCCATCCTGTTAGACCCAATTGGCCATTCCATCAATTTTCAGCACTA